GCTTCTATCACCTCCAACTAAAATATACAGGTTGGGCAAGTTTAACTAATAAGTTTAAAATGCTTTTTTTAAACAAATGGCCATAACTATCACCTAGTCTTCGCTTGTAAGATTAATTTATGCAAAAATTTAAGATAATAATAATAATCCTTGAATTTTGATTTAGCACTTTATCACATCTTCTAGACGTCTCAAAGCGCTTCACTGAATATACTTTAAGTAAATTGACTATCTGTTTTATGGGCAAAACATAAAAATATGAAGATAAACATAAAGACCAAGCAGAACTGTGGAACATTCTTAAATTAGAAGTGTAATAATCTTCGTATCCTTTAGCTGAAATGGCCATCATTCTGGGACCCTGTTATATGCTAAATGAACTAGTAGGTCACACGTAAAGGAAACAATTTCTCTTGTGGATTGTGTTATCAACTGAAATCATAAGCCCATTGTTACAAGACACTACCGTTTACTGTGAAAGAGTTTATCATTCATTCACTATGAAGTTAATCCACTCCTAGGACTGCTACAGCTTTCTAGCCAGCAGGAAACATGTGCAAGAACATGAATTTAAATTCAAAGCTTGCCAGAAGTATTATGCTTCAAAAGGATTCAAACAAATCAAGTGTTCATATGGACACCAAAGGAGCCTTACTCTAAACTCATGCGCATAATTATCAAAAGGCTGTATAGGACAGTAACACTTAACATTGTAAAAAGTATTTTTATTTTGTTGTTGTAAAAGATAAGAAAAGTGGAACCCCCACCCCTAGTTTCAACCTTCCACCTTTAATGTAAGAGTGCATGGATCTCCGAGGACTGTTTCAGGATTTCTTACAACCGTGTTTATTTTTATAGTCGATAAAAGAATTCCTGCTGAGTTCTTTTATCAATGTTCTTACATCTGAATATTTCATCAAATGTGTTTATATTATGCAATAACAAAGCACAGAACAAGAAACTCTGACTGATTAAGGTTCCAACCCAAAATGTTGATCTACTTCGCGTTTAAGTATTGATTGACCTGCATTTCTAGTGCGTCTCTCTATCTGAAGATAAAATGGCAAACTAAAACTATTGAAAATACTCCCCCTAGCTATATTGGAGAAAAATTACACCATTACATTTTCAACCTTAAAATAAATGGTTTGGAGGATCCATTGAGCTGCCACCTGCTGGAGCTCTATCCGGGTGACAACTTTGGCTCGGCCCCTCCCTCCTTCAGGGTCCATGTCAATACCTTTCTCTTTAACCATGCCTTCAGTCATCCCACCCCCATTCCCCCATACCCCACATCCCTCTTGAATCCAATCCCAAGCTTGTGTGAAAATCCTCGACTGTCCAGCACCTTGGGACTTCCTCCTGAGGTGAAAGGTGATATATAAATGTAATATACTGTTTTGTAAAATAAGCTAAAATTTAAGATACTAACAAAAATTATTTAAAAAGTGAAAAAGGTACACAGAAAAGCTTTGGAAAGTTATATTTTCTTCCCTGATTCTTTAAAAAGAAAATAGATAAGATGCTTATGGCACAGAATATTAAAAGTTATTAGAAGCAAGTAGATAAGGTGCTGCACATGAATAAAAATCAAAAATACAGACTCAGTGGGGCAAATAAAGTGTCTGCGTTGTAACATTCTGTTTGTATTCCTAGTTATTTCAAACTGGTCTTTAAGTGGGGGGGGTGGGGGGGGGGGGGGGCGTGGAAGGAAGAGGCATGTAGGTAGAAAACACTTTAAATATTCTGGACAAAACACTATCTTGACTATGCTTCGGATGCAAAGCTGGACTATCCAGAACCTTGGGATGTCCTCCCAACATGAAAGACTTTGTATTTTAAACAAATTTATATTTATATAGTCTGTACACTTGACAAAAAATACCTGTGAAGTGCTCAAGACCTTTCACTATGATAAGCACTATATAAATGCATTATAAATGCATTATAATGCATTCAGTTAGACATTCTGGATACCATCGCTAGGACTTTGAACCAAGCTTTGATACTTAGTATTCCAGTCAATGCTAAGTTTTGCAAAGTTCACAACCCACTGTCTCAGGATTCTAGCAGCATATCTTCGCACACTAGTCTTCAATTTGTAATACTGGTCACTCTTTCCTGCTTTTGTTCCAAATTATGTGGTTTATAAAAGAGAAAAATAACCTAATGATGTCTGCAGAAAAAATAAAAAATAGTTCGAAAGCAAGCAGATTGTGGGCTTCAGAACTCCTGCCGAAGACTCATTTCATTAGTCAATCTTCCGTTTCCTCATGTCCATTTTCAGACCTCAAGCTGACTTTCTTCAGTTCTACTCAGACAGAGCACAACTAAGTGCAATTGCTAACCAAACCAAAGAAACCTCCTTTCCACTCATAAATAATTGTAATCAGAGGCTGAATAATTCTCACAGTGAATAAGCTTACAGTTTTACATAATACCAAAACATCTCAAAGCACTTTACAATAGCTGAGTTACAATAACTGAGTTTAAATTAAGTGACTGATTCTGTAAACAAACACAAATGGACAAGTAGACAGGATTTTAGAGAAAGGCATCTCAGAGAATGGAATTCAACATGGAACGTGAATCCACAATCTTCTGCCCAGAGGCAAGAGTGCTGTCAACTGGCCTTTTTTTGATTTTGACAAAACTGTAACTTGCAACTATAATTAATTTGTTGAACACATCGTAAACAGAACGATCTTAAATGCACAGGAATCTTAAATTGATCCTCAGAAATGCCAAAGCAGACATTCACCACAGAACAAAACTCCATTCACAAAATGAGGGGTCCTATGCATATTCTTACATTTTCTTTCCAGTACAATGGGCATTTCTCCAGAATATAGCGTTGCATTAAAGAATAAGGAGAGGCTACTTGGACTGGAAATTGGGCAGGAGTTAAGCTTCACAGATACCTCCAAATCATAACAAAATTTGGTGGAATGGGTAAGATATTTCATATGCTACTTAAACAATATCCAAGACACTATGTTTAAATAGCCCTTTGTTGGTTCAATGGAATTTATACATTGCAATGATATTTTACATTTCCACCTGAAGCCATTGCCAATTGCATTTGCCACACTTTTACTATTTTCTGTCTGTTTCCAAGAAGGGACCTTAACTTCATTTAGTTTTACAAAAGACAACATGTATTACCAACATCACATCATATCATGCCAGCCTGGCTCAGCCGGTAGCACTCAGAAAATTAGACTGAGATTCCACCTACCTGTTTAGGTGGATGCTGAAAATCCATGGCACTTTTGATAAAGAGAAGGAATTTCTCCTGCTGTGTGGCTAACAATACTCCAGATTTAAAAAAACACGTAGTTATTCGTTGGTCATAGCCTAGGTAAATACACAGTCACTATTTTACAGAAAGCTCTGTGAAACAGTCATTTCAACGTAATGGGGCAGTGGATCAAATGCAGGGCTCATTATATAACTCACAAACCATTTCTGATTCACATCAGAACAAATAAATTCCTGCTACTCTATATCCTATATCTCTCAGTATCAATTCCATCCTATATAAATCATTCACCATTTATATTCCTAACAGTATTAGCTTATTCATGTACATTCATTACAGTTTACGGTACTTCTATACTTCTAAACATTTCAAAATGCTTCATAGTAATTACTGTCAAGTGCAGCGACTGCTTTTGTAGACAAGCAGTAGTCATTGTGCTATGAAGCGAATAACCAATTAATCTGGATTAGAATATAATTAATAATACCATTTTAATTGATTATTGGCCCGAAAATCAGGAGAAACTCTCTTCAATATATCCATATCCGATGCTGGCCTTGACCTTCTGATCCAGAAGTGAGAACGAAGCCAAGCTAAATTTACAGAAACATCTGTGTAGTAGGACTCAGTCCAACCCATTTCTGAAATAAATACTTTTCATTCATTCTCACACAATATTTTCTGAAGAAAAAACACGGTCTCATTCCATCCATCTTTCAGACTACCCCAGACTGACATTCTATTTCAATCCAATACCCAAGAACATTATTGTTGCTGTTACATGCTGTGACATCCCAAATCCTTAACATATAATCAATTCCAAATCTTTCAAAACCAAATTACATACATCACAATCCATGAAGATCAATCTCTGACAAAGTCATTCCCCATAACAAACGCTCTCAATCCCACTTCAAATCATCTGAGGTAGTTTGAGAACCGACCTTTCCACGCAACGACAAACACTGGCGCCGAATCTTACTCCACCAGATTACATCTGTCAAACCATACCGTGGACAATAAGATCCTATATCACTGAATTAACCCTTCCTATTTCTACTACTAAACAATATTTCTATTTTTTATATTCATCCTAAAAAAATGATCACTGACTATCCCTCCTTTTCTGAAAACTCCTTCAAACCCATCCGCTATAGCTCACTAACCGGACCTATCCCACCTTCTCTTGCGAATCCCTGAAGGACCTACTTCAATCACATCCCCGAGCTCACCGAATAGTCACACAGTATCCTCACACCACCCTCTTCCAGTACAGCAAACCAGAGAAATTGTCTTCACAGATGGGGTGAGGCGGGAGCGGTGCCCCGTTTTCCCTTCACCACCTTTATTAATTTGGGGGGAAAAAAAACACTTTCCCATACCCTTTGAGGTGCTGATCCAGTTCCCCTTTTGCACGATCCATTGATGGAGCGAGCCTGAGCGAGCCTCAGTGGCAAATGAATTCAGTCTGGTCAAGCTTTGCCTTGTAATGTTATAGGGATTGCAGGAATAGGTAGGGGAGGGGGTGGGGGGTCATCTAAAAACACCTCAGTCCGCGCCTGGTGTGCATCACACCGTCGCTTAAACCCAATGAGAAAACCAACCATGACACCCACCCACCCACACACCCCCTCCCCACACACACCCTTCGCTTCCCCCCCCCCCCCGACCAGCAGAAGTTTGCTCATCGCAATACGCGTGAGCCGCCAACTTTCCGCCTGGCCGCGCCGCCAAGTACCTGTTGTGTCCCCCGCCCTCCCGGGTGCCGCGCGCATTCGCTCGGTGCCGGTTATCTATTCCGCTCCTTCAGACACCTCTCCGCGTCTCTCCCGCCCTCCCTCCGCTCTTTAACGTCTCTTCTTCGCCCATCATCCACAGTCCCTCCTGTTGTTGCTGCTGCTGTGCTGCTGCTGATGGTGCTGTCAGTGAACGAGGAGCCCGGATGTGTCTCCCCACCCATGTTATTTAGAGCTGTGGCTGAGCTTGAGGGAGGGATGGAGGGAGGGAGGGAGGGAGGAGGTGATTTTTTAAAAATCTTTTTTACAGCCAAAAAAAATACCAGAGAATTGGCACTCCAATCACGCAACTTGCCGAGAGAGGGGAGGGCAGGGGGGAGGGAGGAGGAGGAGGAGCCCGCTGAGGAGGCGCCTCGGCTGGGCCGGGCCGCCGGCCCTGATGGACGGCTTTCCCGCTCCCCGCTCGCGACCAACCGCCGTCGAACTTTCCACGGCGCGCGCCGCCCGCCCGCGCCACCCACCAACCGTCAACTCGCCGGCCGGCAGCGCGAGCCCGGCCAGTCAGGGGCGGGGGGCGGGGCCTCTCCTCCCGCCCCGCCCACCTCCCCCGTCCGTTCCTCATCCAATCATTGAAGGGACTCACGGGATTGACGTGCCCGCCGGCCAATCGTAATCGGTCAGGAGAGAGCCCACCCACACACTCCCTCTCCCTCACACACACACACACGCACTTACGCACACAAACCCCACCACCGCCTCACACACATTCCCACCCTCTCATATACACACTCCCACACACAAACCCTCTCACACACAAACCCCACCGCCTTACACACAAACCCCACCGCCTCACACAAACCCTCTCACACACAAACCCCACCGCCCCACACACACAAACCCTCTCACACACAAACCCCACCGCTTCACACACACTCCCACCCTCTCATACACACTCCCCCACACACAAACCCTCTTACACACAAATCGCACCGCTTCACACACACTCCCACCCTCTCATATACACCCACACACACAAACCCTCTCACACACAAACCCCACCGCCTCACACACAAACCCCATCACCGCCTCACGTACACTCCCACCCTCTCATATACACCCCTCACACACACAAACCCTCTCACACACAAACCCCACCGCCTCACACACACACTCCCACCCTCTCAAATACACCCCTCACACACACAAACCCTCTCACACACAAACCCCACCACCTCAGACACACTCCCACCCTCTCATATACACACTCCCACACACAAACCCTCTCACACACAAACCCCACCGCCTCACACACACTCCCACACACAAGCCCCACCGCCCCACACATACAAACCCTCTCACACACAAGCCCCACCGCCTCACACACACTCCCACCCTCTCATATACACTCTCACACACAAACTCCACCGCCTCATACACACACACTCACCCTCTAATATACACTCACTTACACAAACCCCACCGTCTCACACACACTCCTACCTGCCCTATCCACCCACCCATCTACTCCCTCCCTCCCCCACCCATCCACCCACCCATCTACTCCCTTCCCACCCTATCCACCCACCTACTCCCAGCACTGCTCACTCCCTACCCTTCCACCCACCCACTCACGCTCCACAAACCTGCTCACTCCCACCCCCTCTCCCACCCACGACAGAACCTCCAGGGGACCAATTTACACGCAGAATGTCGGTGGGGAGCCAGAAAGCTGATGGCTGACAGGACCGGCAAAGCAGGTGCTTTGATCTATTACCCCCCTTCTCCCCTCCCTCTCTCCCCCAGCCCACCCCCTCCCTCATCATTCATTAAACAGCCCCTTCCCCCTTCTTCGCGCCCCGCGCTGCCTGATTACCAGGCAACGGGAGAGATTGAACTGGTTGACAATGACAACCGAGATTCCCTTGTGGTGAGGACAACAGCAACAACTTGGATTTATGTAGCGCCCTCCGCACTGGACGGCGTCTCAGAGCGCCTCCGAGCGTGACAAAAGGGCAAATCCCAGAGCAGCTCAGCTGATAGACAGACAGACACATCTATAGGTGGAAAGTTGAAATCCAAACAAGTCGCTGGGAACACTCAGCAGGTCAGACAGCATCTCTGGGGAGAGAGGAAAGTGAGTCAATGTTTCAGGTCAATGATCTTTCATGAGAACCTGTAGAAGGTTAAGATGAGCGCAAAAATTCTGTACCAATTAGAAGGGAGTGAGTGACAGGTCCGGAGCCGGCGCGTGACTCCAGCCGTTTGTCCGTGTCCGACATGTTGGCCGTTCAACAAAATAATGACATTTATATTTGTATAGCACTTTTCATGTCGGGATAAAGTCCCAAGACACTGGTTCACGGATGTATATGTTCATATATTTTGAAGACTGAAAACAAAGTAAACAACAAAAAACATCGCTAATAATAATGTTTTATTCTGTTTTTTTAAAAAATTATGTAAAAAAAATAATAATACTTTTGATCACTCAAACCACGGCTGACTGGGACACTGCTGTGCGCAATTGGCTGCCGCGTTCGCCCACAAATATACAGTCAATTCACTTTACAGTGTGTTCTGTGAAGCGCTTTGGGACGTCCTCCTGACGTGAAAAGCGCTATATCAAGTGCAAGGATTATTATTATTATTATTATTACTTACTTCCACTTGCTAACTCTTCACAAACCCACACACTCACCCAGTCACACCAAAACCACCAAATGATTAATTTACACACAGAATGTCGGTAAGAGCCCAAAAGTCAAAATCAAGATTATTCTTTAATATATATTCTGTGAAGCTCGTTGAGACGTCACAACAATGCGATAAGGTGCCATATCCAATATAAGGATTATTATTAGTTACAGCCAGTACTCCTTCAGTGACAATAAAATGATATTTATATAGCGCTTTTCAGGTCGGGAGGACGTCCCAAGGTACTGGACAATCACTGTTTTGGACCGGAGCTCGGGATTGGGGACGGTGGAGGGCGGGGGAAGGAGTGTGTTCGAAGGCAAGGTCAAAAAGGAGATGGGTCTTGAAGGATGCAAGGGAGGGGGCGAGCGCATGAGGTTCCCTCTGCTCCAGCCTGGGCATCCTCCCATCAGGCCCATCGTGGCTCCCGGCACTGGCTGTCCCAGAGCAGCAACCCCAAGTGTCCCATCATTCACTCCCTCCGCTCAAACCGCCTCCTTAAGGCAAACCCAACATCCCCCTCACTCATACATAACCTCCCCAACTCTCCACTCACACCACTCTCCACAACTATCTCTCCTGTACACCCCAAAAACCTCTCTGCATCACTCCTCCCACCAGCAAATCCACCCGAATTTCCCTCCAAAATGTCCGTTCCATCTCAAACAAAGCCCTCACCAGCCACTACCTCATCCTGGACGAGCAGCTTGACATTCTTGGGCTCACCGAAACCTGGCTCTCCCCCAATGACCCCGTCCCCCCCTAGTGGAAGCTTCCCCTCCAGGCTACAGCTTCCATCACAACCCCTGTCCAAACCAACGTGGTGGCAGGGTGGCCTCATTTCCAAAGCCTCGCTTGGTCTTACCCCCTACTCCTCCAGCTGCTTTCCTTCCATTTGAGCCTCATCCTCTTTCACCCTTCTCTCCCATTGAAAATCTTCCTTTTCTACCACGTCCCCTAAGGCCCCCAGCTCCTTCCACACAGCATCTCTACTCTCCTCTCTTCCCTGTTCTTCTGCTCCAAGCGCCTGCTCATAATGGGCGATTTCAACCTCCACCTAAACTCCCCTTGGACTACTGCCGATTTCACTGCCCTCTTCTCCTCCCTAAACCTCACCCTTCACATAAGTTCACCTAGCCCCAACCGTAGTCATGCCCTTGACCTCGTTATCACCCACGGCCTTGACATTTCCGACCTCAGCATAGTGGACAAGGGCATCGCGGACCACTTCTCATCTCCTTCTCCTCTCATATTCTTCTCTCCCCCACCAAGCCCTCAACCATCCTCTACCGCCCTTAGAAAAGCTACTCCCTGAGACCCTCACAAAGGCCCTCATATCATCAAACATCCTATTCCCCTGGCCTTCTACCCGTGGAGATCCTGAAGCAGCCGTCCAGCTGCTCCATGGTTGCCTCTCCTCCACCTTCAACTCCCTCGTCCCCCTAAAATCCAGGACCATCTCCAAACCCACCCGATCCCCCTGGTACAACAACCATCTCCCCCGCCAAAATACGAGCGCAGATGGTGGAAAACTTTCATCTAAAATTCACAACATCCGCCAGGCAGCCTCATCCACCTGCCTCTTGTCACCCACCACCACCCCTTCTCTGTCCCCCTCACCATCCTCATTATCTTCTCCTACCACCACCCCCATCCTACATTCCTTCCTCCTCCCTCTCACCCATCATCACCTCCGTGAAACCCACTACCTGCTGCCTCGACCCCACCCCCCCACCAACGTGCTGGTCACCCAGCTCCCCCTCCTCTTCCCACTACTGGGTGATGTCATCAACCAGTCCCTCTCCTCCGGATCAGTCCCTGCCGCCCTCAAAACTGCTGTATTCAAGCCCCTCCTCAAAAAACCTTCCCTAGATCCCTCAAACACCAGCCACTACCGCCCTATTTCTAACCTGCCCTTCCTCGCAAAATTCCTAGTGCCAATCAACTTCGCGCACACCTCTTGTCCTACTGCCTCTTCGAAACCCTCCAGTACAGTTTCCGCCCTGCCCACAGTACAGAGACTGCGCTTGTGAAAGTCACAAATGACATCCTCTCTATCTGTAACCAGGGATCCCTCTGCCTCCTTGTCCTCCTGGACCTTTCCGCGGTGTTCGACACAGTCGATCACTCCATCCTCCACCACCACCTTTCATCCATCTCAGTGGGACCGCACTCGCCTGGTTCGCGTCCTACCTCACAAACTGCCAGCAGTACATCTGCACAAACTGCTTCTCCTCCCGCTCTCACCCAGTTACCCGCGGGGTACCCCAAGGTTCCATCCTTCGCCCCCTCCTCTTTCTGTTCTACATGATCCATCTTGGGGATGTCATCCGCAGACATGGGGTACATTTCCACATGTATGCGGACGACACCCAACTCTATTTTTCCACCTCACTTTGCGACCCCCAATCCCCTGATGTTCTGTCAGCCTGCCTGTCAGACCTCAGGGGTTGAATGAACGCAAATTTCCTTCAGCTGAATATTGACAAGACGGAAGCCAGATTCTTTGGCTCTCGTCAACGTCTAAAATCTCAAGGTTCTCACCTA